GGGAGGAATCTGGGTATTCAATGCATTGAATTACTTTGTTCTTATTTTTATAGCCCCTTAATTTTTCTGTTTCTTGCTCCATTTAGGTTTGTGAAATGAAAAACTGCAACAAATGTATTTATTTTGAAGCTAAAAAGAAACAAGATCTCTATATGTGGTAAGAAAACCTTGTTGTATAAAAAGTAAGGTCTTAGTGTTTTCAGTAGTTTTGTTCTTTTCCTTCACCTATGTAAAAATGGGCAGGGAAGGAGTAAATACATTTGACTTCTACAGTTTGAAGCATTTAAAGGAAACTGAGTACATGAATATTACGAAAATCTGGTGCTGTCTTTTAATTTTGAATACGTCATGAGCATTTACTGCATTTAAATGCTAATGAGTTGAAAAAGCTTCCTTCATATTTTTTAGGCTTTCAAATGCACCTCATGGGCCATCTGCTAAATTCCTTGTTCAAAATAGTAAGTTGACTTTATTTAAAATATTTTATGAAAATATTGAAAAACTTTTGGGGAGAGTTGTCTCAAAATTTTAACTTATTTTTGTTGTAATTTTTCTAGTTCACACACTAGCTGAGCTAAAGATGACTGGAAACTGTTTAAAAGGTTCTCGGCCCCTTTTGTCTTTTGACCCAGTAAGTTTCTTTCGTTTAATATAATTTAGTCTCTTTCTGACTCTGCCTGTTTGTTTTTTGTTGACTATAGTTATGTAATTCAGTTTATTAAACAGAGTTTTAAACAAAGTATACTGCTGTTATCAAATAATATGTCTTCTTTATTTTTATAGACTTTTGATGAATTACCACATTATGCATTATTAAAAGAACTCTTAATTCAGGTAATCCCTTTTGTACAAAGAATATTTGATAATACAAATGAGTATCTTTGGGCTTTTTTTATAAGTTAGTGCCTAAAGCATACATGATATATAACACCTTTTTTTTTTCCTTTTTAACTAGATATTTAGCACACCACGGTATCATCCCAAGAGCCAACCATTTGTGGATCATGTGTTTACATTCACAATTTTGGATAATAGGATATGGTTTCGGAACTTTCAGGTCAGCTTTTTTTTTTCTTTTTTTGGAATGTGGAAGAATTGGGGGAAAGGCCAGCAGTGCAGGGGGTGAGAAGGCTCACCAGAGACAGTGGGGAGCAGAACAGGCAGATCTGCTGAAAATCACACTGCTGAGGGGTCAGAGGTTGAGACAGAAGAGTTCTGCTGCACCATGTGGATTAGCTTCCTGGCCTGGGATCAAACTCAAGCCATAGTGTCGAGGTGCTGAGACTTAACCCCTAGTCCACCATGGAGGCCCTGAACTTTAATTCATTTTTTAGTTATACTTTAACATAAATTGGGATAGATAGCATTAGGAACACAGAAAATGCAGATTAAATCTTTGTATTTTAAATAGCCTTTTTTCCCTGCAAAAACTTGGAACAAATGGCACAGTATTATATTTCCAATGATCTCTCAGCTTCTTTCCATAGTTGCCAGTAGATATGGTATATGGATTCCTAAAAAAATAATTCATTACGTATTCAGTAAAACACAAGTTTCTGTCCCAAAAGGATAGACTGCTGGGGAGGAGAGAAGGGAGTTAGACTTAGTAAAATATGTGTTTGATGGGACAATTAGATGAATCATACAGTGACTCATTCAGGAAGAGAGGTGTCTGGAAATCTTGAGGTAGGAGTTTGGCAGGATAAGAAGTCTGCCAAAAATGGAGAGGTGGAAGAAGAGAACAGCAAAACAAAATTTCAGTGTATGAAACAAACTGGCTTCTTTTTTTCCACTTACTGTATCAAATAGCTTGGAAAGTGAATTAAACATACCCCTTAATCTCTAAAGGCAGATACACCTGAAACAACAATGTTAATATTTGCAGTTCAAAAGTGCCCTCAGTATGTCGTCATTGAAAAGTGACCTTGTCTCCTTTTATATGTCTTTTAATCTGACTTGAATTAGTCACACAAACAGTTCAGCTATTGCTTTAACTTTTAATAAGGTTTCAAATAAGATACTTTAATGTATTTTGTGGTGGTGGTCCTGACACTAAATATATATATTTTTACCAGTTATTTAAGAATAAGTGTATTGTAAGAAACAAGGTAACAATGGAATTCACATTATGGGATTTTAAAAGAACATACTGACAAAACATTTTCCCATGACAACTACCCTACCACTAGCTAGTAATATACTTCTGAATATATTAATTTGACACTTGATAAGTTTTACCTCTTAAGTTTATGTAGTTCTGGCAGGCACATTTGTAATAAAGTTATAGCCAGTGCATCTTTTAAGAATAGTATATCCAACCCAAAATGAGATGTTTCCTTTTTATTACAGATCATTGAAGAAGATGCTGCCCTCGTAGAAATAGGCCCCCGTTTTGTCTTAAATCTCATAAAGATTTTCCGGGGAAGTTTTGGAGGACCAACTTTATATGAAAATCCTCACTACCAGTCACCAAACATGGTAAGTGGTTTCATTTGTTTTCTTTGCTGTCCCAGAACTGTTTCTGGCAAGTAATTACTACTATTTTATTAACTATGAAACTGAATTTGCGTTTGCTGAATACTACAGTCTTGCTTGTATTCATTCTTGCTTGTTTTAAAATGATCCATTAAGTGTTAAGGCAAACAGGGTTCTTAAGTGAATGTCCTTACCATTAGAAAATGTTTCTTTCAAACACACCTGATCTTTTTGTTTCTAGCATCGTCGTATCATAAGATCCATCACAGCTGCAAAATACAAAGAGAAACAGCAAGTGAAAGATGTGCAGAAACTAAGAAAGAAAGAACCAAAGACTGTTCTTCCACATGATCCTACTGCAGATGTTTTTGTTACACCAGCTGAGGAAAAACCAGTAGAAATACAGTGGGTAAAACCAGAGCCAAAAGTTGATTTAACAACAAGAAAGAAAAGAATTTATAAAAGGCAAAGAAAAATGAAACAGAAGATGGGTAGTAAGAATACAAAATGAATCTATGGATAATTTTTCAGTTTTATATTTATTTTGTATTCATTGTGTAAATACTTTTATTCAGGATTATCTTCATAGCTAATGCGTGTAGCATTTAAAAGAAAGAAAAATTACAGTTCTTGTGGCTTCAGTGATGGCTATGTTTTTCAAAATAAAGTATCACCAGAACTTATCAGATAATTTTTTTTTCATTTGAAACCTCATTTCGTATTAAAATACTTAGCACGCTAATGCCTGCTTTCTTGGATTAGCAAAGCTGAAAGTTTGTGGGCCATTATCACTTGTAAGACAAATTTTTAAGCATTTTGAGAGCATAATTTTGGATAGTAAAGCGGGGATAGACTGGGAGAAAAGAAAGCGTCTTCCTGAGACATTTTTAGTTCCAGAGTCACCCGTAAACAGGCCTTTATACAAGCCAACCTTGATCCTTCTTCCTGGAACTCCAATAAAATTCTTAGATTTTGAGAATCAGCATTTAAAATTACTGTTAATAATAATGTGAAGAATTAATAGTCAAAGAAGAAAAGATTAGGAGGCACCAGAATTTGGAATTTTTCTATTAAGCACAAAGCTCTGGGCTTACTATTCTGGAGGAAGATGGATGGTAAGACAAGCCAGGATGCTTGGTGGATGAATATACTGTACAGGTATATAACTGATCAAGCTAGATCGTGCATGTGTGATGGTTTCATTTCACATTAATCATTTTAACATGACCTACATTATGTCATACCTACATAGTCCCTTTTTAAATGTTTTTTATTTTAGTTTTCTTTCTCTGGCATAGGTGCTTGCAGCAAACTTTTTTTTTTTATACAGATTTATTTATTTGTGCATACAGAAATGAGGTATAAGCCAGAGGTGCAGGGGTGGTGAGAGGATTCACCAGAGACGGAGTGGGGAGCAGGAGCAGAACAGGCAGATCGACGAAGTACACTGCTGAGGGGAGCAGCGGGCGGGTCAGGACAGGTCTGCCATGTCATGTGGATCACCTCTGGGCGGGGATCGAACTCACACTGAATGGCTTTAGCTTCTTAGTGCTGCTGCGCCACCAGGGAGGGCCCTGCAGCAAACATTTTTATAAATTTTTTTTGTACAGGTGTAATTTGGGTTGAAGGTGGTGAACATTAAGACACTTTGTTGCCCTAATATACCTCATCAGAGCTTAGGGTTCATTCCCTTTACCTTTGACAATGGTGAAACAATTTTTGTCAATATGACAGGTAAAAAAAATGATTTCTTAAGATTAGGTAATTTGTGACTAAATTTGCTTTGTGTGGTAGTTAACCTTGCCAATTTGTAAGCTTATTTGTGTAGTAAGTTTATTATCGACATCTTAGTGATAACACCTGCACTTCTACTTCATGCCTTTATTTTCAGTTTTTCTTAAATTTCTACAAAGAAATTAAGGCCTGCGTCTATAATTAGCTTACTTGGAAATAATATAACTTAGGCTACTTGAGATCTAAATTATGCTGGTCAAAGGTTCATTTAAAATACTAATGAAGCTCAAATCTACTTAAGTGCAAAAAGGGCCATTACAAGACAAGTTGAATGTAAACTTGGATGAAAATAAGCCATCTTGGAATTAAGGATTAACTTCTGAACACCATAGCTTGAGAAATTAATTCAGTTTTGAATGAAAAGCCTATACTTTCTTGATGTATATTACCAGAGTTTTACTCCAATTTAACATTTTGTTTATCATTGTCAACAAAGTGGCATTTTTCTGGTCCACAGTACTTCCTTTGAGTCATTTAAAAGTATCTCTTTTTAGTGAGAATGCCTATCTTCACGTTCATTTAGAAATCTCCCTGTTTGATAAAATACTCCTTTTGACTGAAATTTATATGCAGTATAATTGCTTTTAAATTTTGATAGGTTCTAGGCAAAAACAGACCTCTTTTCTCATGAAGAAAAAGAGGCAAGTGACTGAGGTAAGCAAAGCCAGTCGAGTTAGAGGATGAAAAGTACGTTGTCAGTTTTTGTTCATTCACATCTCTGCCCCCATTCCATTGCTGGATAGGACAGGCCTCATTTTCTCTTCATAGGCTCCACAATTCCTATTTGATACCATTTTACAAACTAAGCCCATATGATATCTTTCTTCTTTGGAAAAGAGGCATATGTTTGAATATTGAGTAGTGAATTGTTGGGCCAGTGGTATATACAGCTCTGATGAGTTTCAGCGTGGGGGTGTTTTGATTGTGGAGGTATCGAATATTTGGGAAAGGACAACTGTCCTAAACTTTGGGTACCCCAGTCCTGTCCTATAAATGTTAGCAACGGAACTAATTTATAACCCTGATTGGTAAATGTAACCAACACCTAAAAAAGTAAATGTTTAAGGAACAATGAAATATATTGATGTTTTAATAACAATTGGTATACTATTTGCCACATCAAATTGGATCAGTTGTAGAGATCTTTTGTCCTATAATGTAGTGTATCAGATCAAGCAAACCGCATTCTTAACCTAAATTAATTTTAGGAATGTAGGATTACAGACCAGAAAGTTAGTATTAAAGAGTGGAAGGGATGGGATCAGCACAATTTCATCCAATATTGGTAATACAGCATTTAGTATGTTTACAATACGCTGATGCTCAATTTAAGTCATCCTTTTGCTGGTGGTTTCTTCTTTTTTTTTTCATTCGTATTGGTCAGGATAAGCAATATTGGAAGTCATTAAATTGGCAGCTGAAGGGAACATAAAAGGGTTTTAAAATCTGGTTTCTCTCCAATCAAGTCTGCCATTAATTGATTTGCGGGAGCCAGTTCAGTTACCTTATCTGAAAAAAAAAAAAATGAAAAACAGTTGAACCTGTCGAACCACAGACATTTTCCAATTACCACCGGAGCCCTTTCTGGACTCCTCTGATTTACTCTGTACTGCCGCCCACTTGGTGCTCCTCGCACCTACCGGACTTCTGTGCCCCTCACAATGACACCCACGTGGCCTCTCCGCCCACCTGCCGCGCTGCTCAGTCCAGCGGTCGCCCCACCTCCGTCCCTCCGAGGTCCCAACTTCCTCTGCGGCCCCGCCTCCCGCCATCGCGGCCCCGCCTCCTAACCCGCCTCGGCCCCGCCTTCCCCACCGAAGCCCCTCCCGCCGCGCTGCCTTTTCCGGAACAGAACCCTCCCCCCGCCCATGCGG